CCTTTACTAAAAAAAAAAAAAAAAAGTATTGAAATCATGATGGAGCCTTAAATGGCCCAAGGGATGACTAAGTCTTGAACTTCTGATTGTTTAAATACAAATGCTAGTGCACAAGAAATCAGGCAGAGGCAAGAAAACTTGGCCTGCTACATAGCATTCAATAATTTGTGATTAATAATAAAAAGTGAAGGGCAGCTAGGTGGTGCAGGAGATAGAGCAATGGCCCCAGAGTCAAGAGGACCTCAGTTCAAATCTGGCCTCAGACACTTGACACGCACTAACTATGTGAATCTGGGCAAATCACTTAACCTCGACTGCCTCACCAAAAAATAATAATGATGATGATAATAATAATAATAATAATAACAGTAATAATAATAAAAAGTACCTGATATATATATTGTTTAATAATCTCTCTCTCCTCCCCAACCCTACCCTCACCCCCATCCCACCCCTAGTACTCTCTCAATCTCTCAATTCCTTCCTCATTGTTGAATACCCTTTCCATGCTGTGGGTAACAAAACTTTTTAAAAATATTAGATGGTCTAAGAATATCTTTTTTCATTCTAATCCCAATCCCAAACCACCAAACTAGCCTGAGTCACACCTGGTCTTTCTGACTCAGTCAGGAAGTGACCCACTATGTATCTAGTATACCAGGGAGCCCTCTCAATGACATGACATAATATTCATATTAAATAAATTTTCATTAAATAGCACAGAAGCTACATAAGTTAAAGGATAAGCTATCTAAATCAAAGAAAGACAAACAGTAAATCAACAATGGTTGGGCATCTATGCCTCATTAAGATTTAGAAAAGTCTAAAAATGATAAACAAGAAAAATGTCAAGGCTTTGAAAATAGTATTAGAAAAATAGGTATTAACCATCTCCAGCAATTACTGAACAGAAATTACTAGTGGTATAACTCATTATTTTTCTCCCAAACCCTCCCTTCTCCCAAACTTCCCTATTTCTATCCAAGGTTTCATCATCCTTCCAGTTTCTCAAATTCATAATCTCAGAATTAACCTGAATTTCCTTACTCTCTTTTTCTCTCACCCCACATAGCCAATAAATGTCCAAATCTTGACAGTTCTACATCTCTCCCATCTGACCCCCCTGCTCCACCCACATAGCTATGACCTTCATTAAGGCCCTCATCATCTCTTCTCTAGATTATTTCTATAGCTTCCTAATTGGTCTTTCTGCCTCAAGGCTATCATTACACAGGTCCAAACTACATTCTGCCAAAATATTTTTCTTTAGACATCTTATGATGTGACTCCTCTACTCAACCAACTCCACTGACTTCCTGTTACCTCTGATCAGATATAAACACCTCGGTTTAGCTTTTGAAACCATACAGAACCTAGCCCCAACCTACCTTTTCAGGCTCATTAAATATTACCCTCCCGCTCAGTTCCTGGGCACTCTGCAATCTAGCCAAACTGGCCTTTCCTTTATTCTTCACACGTAGCACTCTATTTCCTCACTCTATGCATTTATTTGCACTGGCTGTTCCTCGTATCAGGAATGTACTTCCACTTCGCAATCCTTTATTTCCTTTGAGATGCAACTCATGTACCATCTTCTGCATGAAGAACTTCCTGATCCTGTCAATTACTAGTGCACCAAATCTCATTTTATTTTGTATTTAACTACTTATATGTATTTATATTTACTAATTTTGTGTTTATACTGTATGCACACACACACATATGTACTTATCTTCAACCTTCAGAATATAAACTCATTGCAAACAAAGACTGTTTTGTTCTTTATTCTTGTATCCCTAGTGCCTAGAACAGGGGTGGGGAACCGCGTGGCCTCAAAGCCACATGTAGCCCTCTAAGGGCGCGGCCCTTTGACAGACTCCAGACTTCACAGAACAAATCCCCTTAATAAAAGGATTTGTTCTGTAAAACTCAGTCAAAAGGTTGCACCAAAGGACCTAGAAGGCCACGCAAGGCCCCAAGGCCACAAGTTCCCCACTCCTGGCCAAGAACATTGCCTGGTACATTAAGCAGGTGCTTAATAGTAGTTACTAAATGACCGATAACATGCTTTACTATAATTCTTAATAGTTTCATATTGGCTGCTTTTAGAGCCTATTTTAGACACCTGTGCTTCTCTACAATCATGAATGATCATTCATTTTTAAAGCTCTAAAAACTGTATTAATCACAGGACATTTCCTTAACATGATGAAAAGAATTAGTGTTACATGTACATGTAATGGATAAATAGATTCAATCCTACTAAGAATAGAATTACTATTTGGCATCATTTTTAAAATGTCAGCTATAGCAATAAGACAAGAAAAACCAGTTTAAAAAATAAACAATGGCAAAGAAAAGAAGAAAAATATCTATACTCTCAGATGGTACAATGGTATATTTAGAAAATTCAAGAGCTTCAACTAAAAACAACTAATCAACGTAGTATCAGTTCAAATGCTCAACAATGTCAATATTTTAAAATAAAAAAATCTAGAAACCATAGTGAAATCTATCACAATTGTCAAGAAGAAAATGCTTACCTATTTTTTAAAAATGGAATTATTGAAGAAAAACAAATGTATTTTATTACATGAAAATAATTTTGTGGCAACAACAGCTAGAATTTACATAGGGCTTTAAGGTTTATAATACACTTTATAAGTACATTCTTTCCTCACTCTAGGAAGTTGGTGCTATTAATGGGGAAGGGAACAAGCATTTTAAAAGTATCTACTATATGTGAAGGACTATGATAAGCACTTTACAAATATCATCTCCTAACATCCTCATAACAACTCAAGGGCTAGGAAGGTACTTGTTGTTTAGTCGTTTCCGCTTATGTCCAACTCTTCATGACCCCTTTTAGGGTTTTCTTGGCAAAGATACTGGAGTGGTTTGCCATTTCCTTCTCCAGCTTATTTTACAGATGAGGAACTGAGGCAAACAGGGTTAACTGACTTGTCTACGGTCACACAGCTAGTAAATGTCTGGGGCTGAATTTGAGCTCAGGTCTTCCTATCCACTGAGTCACCTACCTGCCTCACTGAACAATATTAAAAAATAATTTGGTTCACAACAATTCAATAAACATTTATTAATCTTCTGTTATAAAACTGGACATTGTACAAGGCAACAGTGCTAACAAAACAAAGACAAAAACCAAACAGGCCCTGTCTTTGTTGCCCAGAGTCTACAATTTACTGAGGAAATATAAGATGTACAAAAACAGAAATGATGATGACATCATAATACTAGTGATAACTTATGAAAGTATATCAATCAAAATATTCAATTAATGCAAATTTGTAGAAGAAAAATGAATTCCAATCTATAAATTGTAAAATAATATAAAATAGGTAGTTCTCAAAAGAACATGATAAACATCTAAAAACTATTCAAATTTTACAATAAAAAGAAAAATTAAACTTCAAACATCATTGAGAAATTATTATTACTTGTTAAATTGGCAAAAATATTTTAAAAGAATACACGATGCCAGAAGTAATAGGTAGATCCTCTAGCACTAAGTCCATTGCCATTTTCAAAATCATTTGCTCAGGAAGGACAGAAGAGCAAAAACAATATTTTTTATTACTCTGTAAAATTAGAAGATTTAAAAAAAAATAAAGCATAAAGAATTTAGAATTTGCTCAACCAAATGAGTGTGGTTCGAGATCCTTCTTATTTTCTCGTGATCTCCCTCTTTCCTTGAGTAATCAACACGTACGCCACCCAATTCCAAGAAATAATAACTTTGTTCTTCCCTTACTTCTTTCCCTCCATTCTTTAAGTTACTTTTGTTTGACGCCTTTTTATGGGATTCACCCACACACATTTTTTTGTTCTTTATATGTTGCTGAGACATCAGTACATTAAGAATCCAAAATATGTTCTTATACCTTGAGAAAGAAGTACTCTACCAACATCCTCTGATACAACTATGGTGTCGTTGCCTGCCCTAGCTTGTCATGGCTCAAAGTTCCTAACATCTTCCCATAAATCTTCAACTGCTTTTTTTTTTTTGAATGGGGAAATAACATACTGAGAGAAGAGGACAAAATGAATTTCTTATCTAGAGGTGATTGTTACATCAAAACAAAACAAAGTTCCACCTGAAAAGGAACCCAGAGTGCTCTCCAACACTAGGATGAGGCAACAGAGCAAGATTTTAATGAAATCAGAGACTGGGGAGAGAGTTATTAAAGTTCTTTTTTTTTTATTAACAGAGAAGACTTCTTTGCAAAACAAAAGAGCAACGGGAGTAGAATATTGTATTTATAGTCAGACATAAAGGATGTGATTCTTTTATTTTTTTTGGCCAAATTGTGCATTCTTTCCATTTCTTTTAGAATTTCTTTAACAAGAGTTTTATGAAGAGGATAATAGGGAGAGATATTTAGTAGTGAAGGTAATGTAAGGTAATAGGCAATAAAGGTAATAAGTAACAATAAAAAAAAAGATTTAAAAAAAAGAAAATGAGGAGAAAATTTTATGTACTCCCAGTGGCTCAGTATTCATGTATCTATGCTTGTATCCAATAAACTCCAGGTCACGATTCATGTTTGAATCTTATTTCTTAGCCCAATCATCCCACTGGGGCAAACTTAATTCCTATTTCCAGTCCCTTGTAACTTATCTCAATACATAATCTCTCAAAACTAAGAAGTAATAAAAATAAAGTAAGAAATTCATTAGCTTATAGTATTTTGTATGAAGTTCTACTTGGAGCAATATAACCCTTTCAAGACTCTATAAAAAGAATTTCAAATGATTTATTTTATTTCTAAGCTTAATTTTCCTATGTTAAATTTTTTAAAAGAAATTAATTTCTGAGTAACTTCAAGTAATCATAATTTTTAAATTACAAAGAAATGACATAAACAATAAACACTGTTCATCATCCTGAGAAATTACTGGCTAATGAATACTTCTGGCTAACCAATGACACTTCATTTATAATATAAACATGGATGAAGTCTTTTTTTTTTTTTTTTTACCTTGAGAAGGTATGTGGGAATGTTGCTGAAATCCACTGGTAACTTCAACAGGAAGCGAGCTGAGAACTCCCCAGTCTGCAGAAAGAGAACCATAACAGTGAGAACAAAAGATTCCCAAAAGGGTGAAGAACTGTTATTATAACACATATCTTTAAGGCCTGAAGTTTATCAGTTAACATTGAGAAAGGAATTCTAACACATAGGGAGGAAGGATAAGAGTAACAATTAAGAAGATTGAATTGTATATTAATAAAAAGTACAAAATACATTGTAATCATTATGCTATAGCAGTATCCTATTTGGTGAATTTCTAATGAAACACTCAAACCATTGGTC